TAAATCTTCAATAGACAATTCTTGAATGCGTGAAATTCGGTTAAAATCTCATTGCTATCTTGTAATTTACTAATAAAAAGTTTAATTTTTTAATTTTTTTTTTTTTCAATAATATAACTTCGCAACTCTACTTTTCATTAGTAATAAATAAACTCATAGCCTAGGTAATTCATCATAGTAACAAACTTCTGCAATTCTAAACTCTCTTTCTCCTTTTTTAGGAAAGCTAAATCTCTTAGAGAAAATAAATCAATCAATTTCAAAATAACACCGAAGCCGTGGAAGTTTCGTTTACACGAACCAGCCAACTCTTATTTGATCAATTTCTTATCTACTTACTAGTCTCTTATTACCCAGAAAAATGATGTAGAGAATGATCTATTATCCGAACTATCTCTTATTATTAGATCGCGAATTTTTGTGCACTTTCAAATTATCATGAATTCGCCATTAAGGGAATGAAACTTAGGAAAATTGTTTCTCCCATGTGAAATTACAATTAACACTCTTCTTTATTTGATATAAGAAATGTATTGTATTCAAACAGATAATGCATTCTATAGAAAATATAGCTTTGCAATTGTGCGCATATTTTTGCAGCATAAAAATCCGCAGTCCACTTGTTACGTCCAAACGAATAAAAGTAGAATACGGAGAGGGCTCTATTATCCGAATGATTACATACTGCTATAAGCATAGCTATTAAAACGTGATATTCTGAGCACCCAAAGTGCACGGGCAAAATTAGAAATTTGGATATCACAATTAGTTAATTTAGAAATAAATCATTTGTCCTTTTTTTGCAACTCGATAACATGTCTACATGTAACTTTACACGGGAAAAACAATGTTCCTAGGTTTCATTCCCTTAATGGCGAATTCATGAAGATTTGAAAGTGCGCAAAAATTCGCGAACGTTGATCGCAGTCTCAAAAAAAGACCGAAAGATGTGTCTGGTGACGTCATACGAACCACGGAGTTGCCAGCGCGGCTTTCGATGACGAACGACTGGTCTGCAATAATTACTCGAAATTGCTAGTGACCCCCAGAAGACCGACTCCGACGAATCTGACGTCACTATGACGGAAGTGTGTATAGCGTGTGTTTGCATAGGCGCGATTCCGCGGAGAGGACCGCCGTGGCGACACGATAGCCAACAGGCGGAGTCGGGCCAGCGTTAAGTTTAGCCACTGGCTGGCAGCGACAGTGTGTCAAGATCACTTGATCCCTCTGCCTCTGCCTTCACCTCGAACGCGTCGAGGGCCGATTGTTGCTTCTCTTTCCGCCGGCCAGTAGGAGAGGTTCAGCCCTCGAGCTCACAAAGCGGAGAATTTCGAGCGGAATCGACCTCCCCCGCCCCTTGGTAACACAGAAGAGAAGAGGATCTTCTCCGAGGGAAGAGGAGCAGGCGCCGCGTTTCTTCGAGAGGCAATCGAGTGTCGCGAAATCGATAGCCAGGCTTTTCGTGTGCACCGACGAATGTGATCTTGTTACACATACTTGGTACGAAACCGATCGAAACGCGAATCGAAAGGTCATGGTGTCTGTGTCTGCACTGCCAGCCATTCGTCCCGTGGAATTTTACTGTCGTGGAATTCGTGACATTCGTTGGGGGTTAAGTGGTCTGTGAGGGTGGGATTCTTTCGCGTGAGAGGAGCGTTCCTCGTTGACCGAGAAGGATTTTTGTGGATACGTGAGTTTTTTGAAATTAGGTAAAGGCACGGTTTGATGCATTTCAGTTCGAGCGAAGGGAGTTAGATTGCAAAGATTTACACGTTTGATTCATTACGTCGTTCGGTTTGCGTGATGAATTTCCTCGTACGAAAACGGTGACGTGTGTCTTGAGGGAAGAAAAATTTTTTTCAACGAATCGTTGACTTTTCAATATTAGATAAAAGTATGATTTCAGTTTTCAGTGAAAAGTGAAGAGATTGCAAGTATTTAACATTTGATTTATTAATTTCTAACGCTGTAGGAATTAAATTTATGCGATGAATTTCTTCGCACGAAGAAAAGTGATGGGTCTCTTATTTGGTGCGAGAAAAATTTTTATGGATCGTTGATTTTTTTTTTTTTTAATTAGGTGACAAACGCAAAGTCAAAGTATGATTTGAAAAATTTATGCGTTTCACTTATAACGCTGTGGCGATTAAATGATTGTTCAGTCTGTGGAATGGATTCTTTTATCTGAGAAGAATAATAAGATTCTTTTTTAATTAACTACGCGAGAAGAATTCCTGTGAATTATTGATCTTCTAAAATTGCGTGATTTATATAGGATAAAAATACGATTTCATTGGTATTTTGGTTCGAATAATATATTAATATTATATTTAAATTGCGTTAGATTGAAGATTCGCTGTCCAGACTTCACTTTTTATTATATTTAAAAAAATATAAATTCGCAATCTACAAGTGATATTTCACATAATTAGTAATTGTAAGTGATACTCTAAATTATGAACTGATATTTGAAATTTATTTCAAGGCTTCATGAAAGGATTTTCTTACTTATACCATCGAAACTTGATTGTAGGTTCAATTTTAATTCAATAGTAAAATTAGTTTCATTACAAAGGACCAGAGATCATAGAGAGAGAAAAATCCAGACATTGCGAAGAAAATTCGAACGTCACCGGTCCTAGTAAGATGAGGGATGCGAGGGTACAAAAAGAGAAGTCATAGTCGAGCAATTCGAACAATTGCAATAAATTGAGTAGTTATAGTTAAATTGAGTTCAGATGTCGTAGAATCGAGTTGTAGAGTCGTTGAAGCTAGTTTAATCGTATATGAAACATATACATACGTTTCGTACACTATTTTCTATATAGATAACATTTTAAAGTTGATCACTTAAAGAGACGTTCAATTAAATTCAAGAAATAGAAACAAATCGTTTCTACGCTAAATTTCTATTACATGTATATTTATTTTTTTATACATTCTTTAATAAATATTCGTCTTCTTTCTTTCGATTACCACTACTACGAGATGTAGTACTTGGCTGTTTTTTACGTGTTATCGCTGTTGTTCTTTGCGTATCGTTCATCCGTAAAATAATTTGATCTTTTTCTCACATTTTGGTCCGTACAATTTCGCGTATAATTTACGCGACATTTTTCTTTTTATCTTGTACCTCTCTTTATGTTCGAAACGTGGAACGACAATAGAGCGAATTCGCCGCGATGAATTTCAGCCGAGAAACTTGTACACCCGTTTAATAACTAATCACGATGACCGCGGAATAGCCAATTAACTTTTAATTGGCACTACAGTCGAGCGCGACGAAGAACAACGGCCAGATTTACAGGTCTGGCAAATGTGATAATCGATCGCCCGCGTGCTTTATAAAACCGTGCCACTCTCCAACGCGGGCTAATCAATCTCTCCGTGCGTGAAAATCAATATATATACATTCGTTGATAAACCTTTCGAGAAAGAAAGTAAAAAAAAAAAAAAGAGAAAAGAAAATCACTCCATTATCCGTCTTATTATCTTTTCATCCGTCGCATGATCCTGTCCTAACC